CCCCAAAACCCCAAAACCCCAAAACCCCATTAGATTGTATAATATTGGTATTTAAAATATTAATTTGAAATAATTAGTTTGTAATTTAAACAATAACTTTAATGGAGATTAACAATAAAAACACTGACTTTAAGAAGCATCCTCCACAATAACATCAAATCATCTTTTTTAGCAACCCTCCTCAGCAATATCTCAATAAACACTAGTCAAATGAGATTTATGATGAACAGGAAATGCCTTTAAACAATGCAGATGATGAAGACATCGATGAAATGGAGAGCTATACACCAGTATAGAAGAAAATTTTCACCGTTGAAAAAACCAGCAATAATATGTCTTAGCAGTATTAACCTCCAAATCGTAGAGCAGAAATACATCAATCAAGTATAGGAATGAGACATCCACTGAATTCTAGTGAGCTATTCAATGCATTTTCCAAAGAAAATCAAAGAGAAAATAAGACAATGATTAATATCAATAAGAGCTAATGGACTGATAATTCTTCTCATACTCCCAATAGTTTGAGAAATGAATTCTCTCGAATACAAAATTAAACCTATTTGGGAGGCATGACTAACAAAAAGCTCGAGTAAAGCCACTTTCTTGACTAGAAAAAGCCTGTGGCGAGAAATTTCTTTGGATAAAATTAGTAAATGAGTAAGAGTATAGATGAATTTAATGAAATGAATTAAGATCAAGAATATCAAATGACGGACCAAGACTTCGATGGCCATGATGATTAGCAAGTGCAAGATGAGGAGTTATACTCAGCCTAAGACTAAGATTTAGACGACTAGAACGACAGGAATGATGAAGAAGAGTAGGAGGCAGATGAAGATGTGCACAGTCAAGAAGATGAAGGAAATATACCTCAGTCAAGTACTTCAGTATCCCCTGATGATAAAGTTGCAAAAAAGAACATTAATCTTAATCCGAATTAAATAGAATACTTTAGCAATATAATTGAAGAAAATGATGAAGAAAATAGAGAAAGTAATGTAAGATCCAGCAATTAAACGACTTCTAAATATTCTGCTAGTGCTTTGTTTAATCAAAAGGTGAACAACAATGTCATAATAGAGAGGAATGACAGGTTCGTTGTTTACAAAATGATTGTAAGTATAAGGATTGTTTAAAATAACTTTTTAGCCTTAAGCAAACAGTACTTCAGCTACAAAGCAATCTCATATAAGTATGAAAGATCAACCTACTCCTACAATATCAGACAGAAATAATTAGATTAAAAATATTCAAAGCAACAAATTCTATAGTGAAACTGTTGAAGATGTTAATTCCTCTGATTCTGACAACTAAGAATACTCTTCATACAGTATGAATCAATAAAAGAACTTCTACCCATAAAAACAAAATCAAGGTTATTAAGAACAATTTTAATCACCAACTCATCATATGATTAATTTAGCTGATGATAGTCTATTTGAGGAAGCAAGAAATGCATCTAATGAAGCGAACAATATGCGCAATAAGATTGTATAGAGCTAGCCATAATTAATTAAAAAATTGGAAAAACCTCCAATGAGTAAAAAAAGCGATTAAACTACTCCAAACTTATAATCAAATTAAAAAAGTTCTAGAAGGGAATTAATAGTAAGCCCAAATTATGTAGATAGTGGAAAGACACAGATTGATAGCATTTCTAAAAATAGAAATGTGCAGAAATTGTCAGATGCATCATTTGAAGATGCTAAGAAGTCTCTAGATAATGATTTTAAGAAACAGTAAATCCATAAGTCTCAAACTGGTGAATCTAAATCTTCAAGCGGAAGATTTAAGATATTGAATAAATTAGAAAGAAAAAATATTACTGAGGAAAATGTTGGTGCAACTTTTGAATTCAATTTAACAAATAATAACAGCAGCAATTTGAATAACCTTATATAATATTCCTAGGGACCTAATACCTAGCATGATAATTTCCTACTTCAAACTTAAGAGATAGTAGAGCCAATAAAAATTAATGAGCGAAGATAATCTGATAGTGCGGTATTGTAAAGACCATCATTTAAAGGTTAAAAGTAATAGAGCATATCTTAAAATTAAAGGTAAAATCAACTATAATAAATATAAATGGATAGATAGCTACAAATGATTAATGTATAAACCTAAAACACAGCTACATAGATGACTCACTCTACTATTGATAATCAAAATAACAAAGAACATTTAGATAATAAACTTCTAGAGTAGTATAAATAACTGAAGAGGACAATGAATAATCAAGACAAAAGCAAAAAAGCTAATTAAAAGGATAGCAGACCTCTTAATAACAATCTATTAATCAGTAAGCAAGTTTAAGGCAAGTAAAATAATGTGATAACTTAGCAAAAGCATTTGACCTCTAATAATAACAAGTAGCAGCAAAATAAAAATTAAAGATAATTGGACATACTTAATGATTAAAGGGCAAAAGGCTAAAAGAACTACAAACAAGAAAATGATGAGTAGAACTATAAGTAATAATTCAATAGTGGTAATTTGATGAGTTCCTATTTGAGTGATGGGAGGGATGAAGATTAAACAAGACAAGGTAGCAGTAAAATTGCTGGATTACTAAGTGTTTAGTAATCAACTAAGGCAAAGGATGGAAGAAATAAGAATCTTTTCATTAATAACAATGAACAAAATTCTAGAACTGCTAACTAAAAGGATAGATAAATTAGCAATAATAGGTTACAATAGAAGATATCACCAATTAGACCAAATAACTAAAAAATCTAGAATTAAAAATAAGCAAAAGCTATTCAGTCTAACAAAAGAAGAAATAATGAAGATTCAGAGGACCAATCAAGTCAATCTTCAAAAGACAACACCTATATATAATCTAAAAAGAAGTAAAATCAGCATTAATAGACCAGTAAAGCAAACAATAACTAAAAGAAAAAATAACAAGTTACAGAAAAAAGGAAGCACAAGGTTCATTCTGATAGCGAAGAGTACTATGATGAATAAAGTCACTCTAATGAAGATTCTCAGTCTGATGACAACTCAAGATCATAATCTTAAGCATACTAAACCAAATCTTACAGGTAAAAGAATAGATCTGAGAGTTAAGATTCAGAAGAAAGTTAGCATGATAATGAAAGTGATGATGGTAGATATCGCAATGTAAACTCTGATGATGAGGATGATGATGATTATGGCGAAGATTAAGAACTCTCAGACTATTCAAGATCCGAATAATCTGTTGAGTATTCAAGATCAGAAGGATCAAGCGATAGTAAATACAATTCTAGCCCAGAATACGTTAACAACTACAATCAAAGCAGGAAAGATTAATCTCATAATTTGAGGCCGAAGTAGCATCATAATAAGCACAAATCGTAGTCAAGGCAAAGATAAACAAAAAAAGTTGTAAAGCAAATTGATAGGAAATAATATAAAATCAACATAAATATGCCTGGAGATAAGCATTCTAAATAAAAAAGTTAAAACTAAATTGCTCAAGAAGAATATTTATTGAAATAAAGGCAATTGCTGCAACAGCAGTAGCATATGATTCAAATGGCCTAGTATCCATAGCAGCAATTTATGCTATAATAATAACTAGCGTTGTAGCAGCAAATGCTTATGAATCCATTAGCTGCTCCACTTTAGCCACCATTGCCATAACAAACATTCTACAACCCAACTAATATTCAATCAACAATAAACCTTGGTGTAGGAGGTCTCTAAAACTAGGCCTAAGTGAATTATGATCATATGTAAATGCAAACTTAAAGACACTAGTAATAGCAGTAATAATAGTAGTAGTACATGCAACAATTGAATCCTCATTCCTCCAAAATAGATGACAGTTCTACGAATAGAAATCTCAGAAGAAACATAAGTGGTAATAGTATCAATCAAATGAATGAGCAATTTGTCTAAAATCTGAACTTTGGATAAAAGAACAATGAAAGTATCTCTCCAAAGAGAGATATTATGCAGAACAACTTTTAGCCATAGACTAATAGAGTTTACAATAATCCAATGTTGTTAGCTAGATCTCCCAGAGACATTTCAGCAAATAACTCATATATGAGAGCAGGTTAGGAAGATTTCAGCCAGTATGATAAGGCTACTAATATTACTCAGATAAGTTCTCAGTAAAATTATTTACACCAGATTAAAAATCGATTCAAAACTGGCGGAAATTCTAGTATTGAATAATAACCATCTTAGTACGAAATGGAGGATAACTAGCAAAGCTTTAACCAAATGTCAAGCAGGAACAATAAGATAATACCTAACAAATCTAGTCCTTTGTAAAGATTTGACGTTAGAGATCAGTGGAGAGAAAGACCAGAATAAGATTAGCGTTTTAACGAAAGAAATGTCCATATGAATCAAAGGTTCGAAGAGGCTAGGAATTTCTAATTAAATGAATAAAGAAATTTAGACTACTCAATGAATTAATAGCACAACTATGACATCCAATTATCTCAGAAGCATACTAGAACAACATCTTACATTGATTATTCTAGAGATCCCGAATATAGAAGATCTTATGATGAAAATGAAAATGAAGAATAAGAATAATAGAACTAAAGACGATTAATCAAACCCAGAAACTTACAATAATACGAAGATTATGAGTAATAAGCAAGTGACCTTTCAGCGCCTAATTTGGCTTGGAAAAAGACCGGAGATTTTGCTCAAGATAATTTATATTCTAAAAATGCTACTCCAAGGCCAAATAAAGAAGATATATCTCCCATTGAGAATAAAAATAATCGCTCACCTAGTGGAGATCCAAAAGACCTATCTGTTGATGAAGGAGTAAAGGCTTCAATGACGAGACATAGTCTGTAAAAATCCCCCTAAGAAGAGGAATTCAGCTAAAGAAATGATTAGAAAAGACCAAATTAACTTTCAAAGAAGGATACTCAAGTATTTCCAAAATAAAATTAAATAGAGGTTGATAGACCAAGTTTAATAAAATAATAGTCACATAAAAATGATAATAAAAAGGGAGCTGAGTCATTATGGATAGGATTTGACGATGATAATTAAGTCAGCGATCCATTTCAAAATAAACCTAACCTAAAGTCAAGAGACAAAACATAGGAATAGCGAAGCAAAAGTTCTAAGCCTACTGAAATTAATCAAAGCAATCCTGCTTAAACTCAAAAAAGAGTACCATTTTAGCGATAAAAAGATAGGCAAAAAGATATGTAACTTGGTAGTCCAATCAGAAAAGAAGAAGATATAAAACTTGCTAAATAAACTCCTAATCAAACTAAGCCAGTCTAAAACACCGTCTTTTCAGAAAGTCCTCTTAAAAAAGCAGTCAAAGATATTCAAGTTAAGTAACATGTAAAAAATAACTAAAATACCTAGATGTAATCTCAAAATTAAGCAAGTGAAGAAGAAGATATAAAAGACCCAGATCATAATAAAGGGATAGTAATTGAAATATTTGACAAAAAACTTGGAAAATTACCTTAGCAAGAAGTATCTTTGGCTGAAATGTTCAAGGCGAAAAGAAAGGAGGCAATCGGAAAGTAAGAGATAAAATAAAAGCAAGATTAAGATCTATAAGTTGCAGCTGCCAGCTAAGAATCTTATCAGGACAAGCCTGCAAAGAAAGGTGAAAAGTCTAAAGAAGAACTTGCTGAACTCAGAAAGTTGATGATGAAGAGTAAGGTAAAGAGAAAAGACGATAATTAATCTAAAGATAATGCTATTGGACAAGACGGAATGGCTAATGGCGTAGTTGGTGGAAATGATGCCAAAAAATAAAAGGGCATAGCAAATGAAAATTTAATGATGAGATTGGCTATGGGCAAGAAAGTCCAGGTTGATAAGAAGGAGATGAAAAAGCTTACTTCAAAGAATTACTATAATCTACCTGAGATAAAAAAGAAAAAGGAAGAAGAATAAAAGCGACTAGAAAATGCAGCAAGAAAGGCAGCAGCAGCTGATTATATGAAGCAGTTTAACGAGAAAAGAAAGCAAATGCTAAAGAAGAAGAAAAGCACAGTAAATGATGGAGGCGATGACGATTGACTTCATGTTTTAAGATATCTATGATAACTATAATCACTTGTCGCTTCTTTATATAAACTAATTGATATTTTATTCATAAATTATGTGCAATATTTGCGATAATTTAAATTTTCTTTATAAATGACATTGTGGGGTTTTGGGGTTTTGGGGTTTTGGGG